TCGGGGAGGGTAGTTATTAACGTTTATGTGACTTAGTGTCGTTATTTAAAATAAATCAACTTCAGGGCCGTTGCGGCAGCACTAAAACGTGTCCGATCGGTCTCCGAAACAAATAGATTTTTTTTTTCATCGAAAGAAACAAAGTCTGACCCTAAGACCTTTAAATATCTAAAAAGTGATTTTTATGTGCCAGTCTACCGCATACTTCCGTTTGTTGGGTGCTCCATGGTTCCCGAGAGCGGTGTTCCTGAGATTCACCAATTTTTGAACATGCGCACGTCAGGGGGGACTTCGTCGCCACCCGCCGCCCCTTGCCATCCGTGATGGTATAGAGGACATCTCAAACTATATCGATAAAAAAATAAAATTACAATCGCAAGTTTCAGACAAAGAGAAATCTTTGATGTATGTCAACGAAACATCGAGTCTGCCATATTCACGAATGTATTTTGAGGATTTATCCTGTATATCTTGTTCCAGATAAAGATATCTTTTGCATGTGTTTTGTTGGCGGAAATGCAGTCTTATAGCCATCCTGAAGATATCTTGCAGATATCGAATGATCAAAACATGTACAAATTCAGATATCTGATCTCTGCCTTCTGATATCTAGCAGATATATTAGTGATGTTGATTGCTGTGTGGGGGGTACTTAGGCTGTTCACACTTGTCCTTTATCTAGTCAACCCTTATTTTGTTTGTCATATGACGTATTGCACCAACTCGCGGTGGTCATATCATATCCAACCTCTTCAGACTAAGACCCTCCGCCTCCGCCCGCCCACCCTCTATCCGGCTCGCCCGGAGACCTCCATCGTCACCAGAGAGCGGGATGGCGGCAATTTTTGAACCGAAGATCGTGATGTCATCACGGTCACTCAATGTGACCTTTTTAACGCAACAGATTTCTATGAAATTTCCTTCAAACATCCTGGACAGCTCGGGACTGAAACGCGGACAAACCTCGTGGACTGGATTGCGGACAGTGCCACAAATAGGTTCTCGGACCACTGCGGACAGAGCCACGGATAGATAGGATCTGAGATGACTGCGGACAGTGCCACGGACACGATCGCGGACAGCATATTTCAACGAAATTTCCTTTAACCATCCTGGACAGCTACAGCTACACGGACAATCATCGTGGACA